GTCAGTCAGTTTGGACTGACAACTCCAAAGCTATTAAAAAATAAAAAGGTCTTGATTTTTATCACTTTCTTGTGTTCTTGGAATATCTATACAATTATATTTAAAGTACTTATTGACAGCCAAACTGGAGGAAAATCTTCTGTACTTGGAGATTAAGACAATGCATAGGCATCTCATAAACCATTTCCCTCTCTTCACCAAAGGGCAGAAGCTCTCTTGGCTTATACAGTTGTGTTTATTCATATCCAGGTGTGCCCAGCTCACTGATAGTGTTGGTTTGAACTGGGAAACTAATTTTTTGTTTTCAGAGCTTTTATTTTGGATGATCCTGACATCAGTTGCTGATGTAATAGCCAAAATAGTTTCTGTTGTACTGGGAATGACAGCAGAGGTTATAATAGCATCCGGTAGCTGGTAAAAACACAAACATTACATGATCTATTGAAATCTCAGATGGACGACAAGGCTTCTTCAGCAATCTCAGCCATTGTTTGGGGCTTTCTGAGGATGCAGACAGACTGCAGCCTTGCTAATTGGCCAGGTAACAGCATAGAATAGAGCACTCTCCACAATGGACATCTTTCAAAATGTATTTTCAAATGACAATGACATAATGCAGGATAGTGGGATTTATTTTAGTGAGGAAAAATCAATGGAACATATTCACTACACTTAAAAAAAGTTATTTTCTGTGAGCTGGCTTTTATTATGAAGCTGCTGTCCAGAAGGACTGGCAGAGACATGAAAAAAAGATGTATAAGGTAAACCAGGAGAGATATGAACAGTACAGAAGATGCAGTGCTACTAAGTTGAAAACTGTCTGAGAATAGAAGCAGACTCCTTTTTGTCTCAATGCACAAAATGAAGCACAGTGTTTTTATTGGACCAATGCCTAAGGAACATAAGTGAGAAGACACATGATTCACTGAAGTACATTAGTCAGGCAGACAGACTGATTTTGAGGACTTCCATGTAGATATGATGACTGTGCTTGTAAAAGAATAGTACCTGGATTGTTTAGAATATTTCATCTTTCTCACATGTATATTACACATTGCCATTTGCTTGGTAATACGATGCCTGTATGGTAATTGTGGTGTAATATTGCACTTAGGCAAAGAAAACACAGCTGAGTTTTGACACTATGGCTGTTATTTCTAACTACTCACACTTGCATATGGAAATTTTTATTCTTTTATGGTATGTTTATAACATAGTTATACAGAATAAATATTCATATAGACTTTTTTTTAATATTCTAACAATTTGGGAAGGTTATGAAATGTAAGTTTTAGAAAGATGCCTAATAATTTAAGATAGATACATGTAACAGGAGGATTTTTTTTAATTTTTTTTATTTTTTTTTTTCAAAAGAAATGCTTAAACTGACTTGTACTGCTTCAATAGGCAGGACTTAATTACAAATAACCTTGAGAAGTTATTCATTATTTAGACATCTTGCCACTTCCTTGCAGTAATTCACACAGTTTGTCTACATGTAATTTGCAGAATAAAGCCCTCAAAATTTGGCTGAGAATTCTTGAGTTTTCAAATTCAGATATGAAGTAATAATCTATCTTTTACTTTCTTGTTAGACATCTTTTTCAAGAATGGATATAGTTTCTTCAAGTTCACTGTGATGTTGCACCAGCAATATTTGACATATTTCTCACGCTTCATCACTGACTAGGTCATGCATTAGCTGACAGTGACTTGTCTTCATGGTGCTAGGGTTAATTCTGTGTGTCAAACATGGGAACTGTGATGTGAAAAGCACACTTGGGAACTATGATGAAAAAAAAAAGAATTTCTTCTAATGTGTTCTTTTGTAATCATAAAGAGAAACAATTTAATAATACAGGAGGTTTAGGATAGCTGGTTGAACTCTTGATGTGTTCTAGAGGTAGACCTCTTCTTACCGTTCTGAAGTGGTACTGTCCCTTCACTCAGTTAAGCATCATGGTTGGCACCAAAAAGTAGGACTGATTTGTCTTTCACTCTTCTGCTCTCTCTTGTTATTTCTTAGTTCTACATGAAATTTGGGAATAATTGCATTTTATGATCAACCTTAATTTTGTATTTAATCTACCACTTCAGTAATGTGTTTTATAAGCTACAAGTAAATGACATTTTCTTTCTCTTACATCTGCAAGAAATGATTCAGTGAGGTACCATATTTGATGTTCCTGTGCTGAAAAATATATTTATGGATATGTTTCTATTTCCTCCATCCTACTCTTGCAAGGAAAGATAATGACAGACCTTTTTTTTAGGGTTCCAGTTCAATTATAAAAGTTCAGCGTAAGCTAATTTGGAGCTGGTTAAATGCTTTGGGACAACCTGTGTGGTCTCACAAAGAACTACCATTAATGTGCCAGCTACAGTTATTTTGAAAGAAGCTCACATTATTTCATGTCCCTACAGAGGGTGGAGACTTAAACTTTGAAATAAAAAAAAAAAAAAAAGCATAAAGATCTTTTAAAGTAGAGGCTGGGTAAACCAGCAGCACCCCATGGGTAGTTAGTAATGGACAACTCTATGTAGCTGTCATTGTACTACTTTGGGGCAGTTTCATTCATATATATTTCAGAATACTGAAAGTGTCACCACTGTCTTCATAGGGCCTGATTGGCTGGGTAAACCAGCAGCACCCCATGGGTAGTTAGTAATGGACAACTCTATGTAGCTGTCATTGTACTACTTTGGGGCAGTTTCATTCATATATATTTCAGAATACTGAAAGTGTCACCACTGTCTTCATAGGGCCTGATTGTGTAGTTGCTATGCATGCAATATGCTGCTTGAAGAGAGGTTTGTGGTGCTGTGTGAATTTGGAGAGAGGAGAACTGTAGATGCAGGAGACATAAAACTGGAGTGCTCTGCCAATGACCTGTGAAGAAAGTTGAGCTGTGTATCAAAATAATAACATCCATGATTCAGTATTAAGGACCATGATTTTACTTTCTGGTATTTGAAAAATGACACTATTAGTTAGGGAAAACAAGTACAGTGAGAATCTGGAGTTGACTGATAATTAAATTTGACTAGAAACTGTAAAAACAGTTGACATGATAGAGACATGAGGATATGCTGTATAATGCCATTTTTAATGCATCATCGTAACTTGACACTAGTCTTTCAGTTTAGCAATAATTAACATCCCTTAACTGTTTGTATTTGGCTTATAGTATGTCTCAATGTTATGTGTTGGGAAATGTAAAAGGTGCATGATTGTGCTGTTTCTGTTCAAGTTGTTTCTAATTAATAACTTCACTGTCCAGTGTTCTTTCAATAAGGGTACCTAATACAATATTTACATTATTTTAGGTATAGAGAAACTGGCTTTTCAACCAAACTGAATGATGCATCTCAATATACAAAAAAGGTGTATGCATGTGTGTATATCTATGCATGTATACACATGCATATATGTATGTTTTATTGGCTTAGACAAGATCCCTCACTTCTTTCCTGTTTACCTTGAGCTCCTTAAATCTCAGGCATCTGGAAGGAATAATTACTTTTTCTGAAAGCCATAAATCTCAAGGTTAATTAATATACACTCTTACTGTGTCGTTCACTAGAATTTCCTCTCTACCCCAAATTTAACGCATGTAATAAAGCTAAATAAAGTTCTAATAACCAACAGATGCTGGGTAATGCAGGATTCTTTACCTGCATGAGCATCTTAGTGAGTCAAGTGGCTATGTCATTTTATCCCTTTGATCATTGGAGTTTGTAACCACTAAATTACATTTGTCTGATTTTCTTCTTCTGCTTCCACAATAGAAAGCATTTACCTTTTTTATATTTTAAGTATCTTCTATTTATTCTTGCCAGAAACAAAATAGTGACCTTTGTGAATCCTTGGGCTGACTCAGCAGAGTTGCTTTTCATTTGTTCAGTTCTATAGTAGCTAATTTTTTACTACTTTTCCAGAGTCTTTATAATTTCTCTTTCAAATAAGAATGGAGTTTCTTTCAATAAAGTTTTCAGTTCAGCAATAAAAACTATAGGGAAATTTTTATGGTGTCCACTTATTAACTGGATAACTATCTATAACTCTGAATAGTGATAGTAATTCCAGTGTTTTTTCTATAAGGTTTAATCTTACACTTCAAATACTATTCTTAAAATATATTTGCAGCATAAATTAAATGAAGAAAAGGTGGTATTAACTCTTAGAATAATAACAATACTTTCAGTGTAATACATAAATCTTAATAAAAATGCACGTAAAATTATATTTTAGTTTAATGATATCAAGTAGCCAAAATATGTTTGGGACCGTGACAGGATTTGCATGAGCCTTCTTCTTTGAAAGGAAGCTCCTGGCTTTGAATTTCAAGCACTATCTTTTTTGTAGCAGGTAGACAAAAGTCATCCTTTTCTTTTTTTAAAGGAAGCCAGCTAATTGCATGTCTTCCTCACATTCAGTTAAACCTTTGAGTGGGCTTTGAAGAGAGTATTTTATGTTTTGCTGTCTTTTGTTTGGGCTTTAGTTTTGGTCTGGAGGGGGTTGGTTTCTTTTTACTGTCAGTCTTTGCGGAGAAGTTCCTGATACCACTGTTAAAAGTAAACTGTTCTTTGAAGGGAGCTTTAACAAAATCTCTAGTTTGACAAAGAAACCGTAAAAATGCCCTACTGGGAGGAGAGTGCCTTCCTGCCTGTCGCCTGAGAATTAATTATTTTTTTGAGGAGAAAACAACAAAAAAATAATTATAGAAAAACTAATGGTAGCATGGTAGACTAAACCTTATTTTGGTCTGAAATAATATTCGGTTATACAGTAAGATACTGTATTTCTCAAATTGGGGTTGCTTGAGTATTTTTCCCATTGCTTTCCAAGCATCATTCTAAACAGAATTTTCCGTTTGGTCACTACGCGGATAATGTGAATGGTACCCATTATTGAAAGGTAGTCTGTATTTCTACTAATACAGAGAATGCCAGTTTAGAAATGAGCCTGATTGCATGGTTCATTTTGTTCTCCTTTGTAGAGCCAGGCTGCGGCCCACTACAAAGGCACTAAACATGCCAAGAAGCTCAAAGCACTGGAAGCCATGAAAAATAAGCAGAAATCTGTTACTACCAAGGACAGCGCAAAGACTACCTTCACTTCCATCACTACCAATACCATCAATACCAGCTCTGACAAAACAGGTTAAGCGACAATCTTTGTTGGTTTTGTTTGTTTGCCTTTGGGGTTTGTTTTTTTTTTTGTTTGGTTTGTTTTGTTTTGCTCTTATTTTTCTCGTTTAATTCCATGCCCGTTCGGTTATGTGCTTGCCACATTGATTCATGCTCGATCCATCTTTCTGTGTGATATTGATTTCTTTCAGTAGGCTGGTGCGAGTATGATAGTCATGTAACCACTTTCGCTTAGTGAAAAGAGGCTTCTCGTTCTTTTAGGACAGAATGTAATACACATGACCTAATTAATTTTTATTAGTGGCTAAACTTTTGCTTATCAACTGCTCTAAACCTCTTAGTCTATATACAATATGTCTCTATAAATAATTACATATGGCACATTTCTTTTAACCACAAACAAAGTGGTAAATTGCACTATTTGTGTCTGGAAGCCTCTTACAAAAGCATTGTTAGTAAAAACCTAATTTTCATAAATTTCAAACATTGCATTATTTTTTTTAAATGGCTATTGCATGGTTTTGAGCTGGAAAATAGCCCTATAACCTCTATTCCTCACAATCAGGTAAGTCCTGTTGATACCAATTTTTCTGCTTAAATGAGTCTTTGAGCTGAAGAAATATCCTTTGATTTATTGTGTGGGTAAAAGGTATTCCTTTGCAAATAAAATCTCTGTGAGTATTTGGTGAAGTCATCAGGATATGATTAGGTTTGCATTTTAAATGTGTGGCTATTGTACTGGAAATTCCCAAAGGAAGGTTATAAGGTAACTGAAGGGTAGTCTGGTATCTCACAAGGTGTGACTGCTCTTGTGTATGAAGTGATACAGTTTGTGTGTTTAGTCATAATCAACCCCCCTTCCCCAAACAAGCCAGTAACAGCTACAGCAAAAAAAGCCAATGCTGTGAAACAAGAAAGACTTTTCTAACTGATGCTGAAAATTGCTCATTTGGAGCTACTTCTGATGCAGTAAGTTTAGCATTGTAAATGGATGTGCTGTAGCCAGTTATAGTGTAACAAAGAAGTACCTTGCAGATGCATATAGTACTATTCCTTAATCTTTGTTTTATTTGTTTTAAAGAGATACCTCTGTGTCTATCTCTGTCTATCTCTGTCTTTATTGCAGCCATTTATTATAGACAGCATATGTTTCATAGAGATGTATATTCTAATTATAATGAGATTGTGTTAAAAAACAATTGTTACATCATTTTTGCGTTTGTTACCAAAGGACAAAAAAGAAAGAAAATATTCTGAGTACTTTTGTTTCTATAATGAAATAAGAGAAGCATGGGAAAATAGGAACAATGTAAAAAGTTATTTACTAAAATATATGTGTTTCTAAACATACAAATACCTTTAAAAGTTTCTCCTGCTGTTACCTGTTGGCATATTCAGAACAGAAAGGGGGATATTGCATGGAAAGAGT